GCAAATATTTTTATGAAGTTAATTGAACCATTTTTTCAAAGACAGTTATCAGCTTCAGAAATAAAAAATTCTTCAAAAAAATGTTTTAATTGTTTAGAATTATAATTTATATTAGAATAGTTTGTGCAATGCATATAAATTTTCTAATATACTAAATTTTGTCACAATGATAGTAAACATACGATTACAAAATTATTTATCAAAATTTTAACCAATAACTGAATTGTGGTAATGTTTAAAATTTTCCATTTTTTCTTTATAAATATTCACATATGAATATATTAACTTTACATAAAAATTCTGTACATATATTTTAAATGTTCGAAAGAATCAGATGGACGAATTTTAATGATTTTATTATTACTAATATGAACAGTCATTGAAGCTGTACTTATTTGCCTAAATCAGCATTTAAGTTTTGTAGGAACAAAATCAAAATGTCTTTCTAATATAAAGAAATAATATTGAGAGCACTCTATTAGGAAGACCAGAGAAAAGTATAATGGAGTGGAGTATTAACATTTGATTATAATTAATGTATTAAACCGTAGTTCATATGAGTAATTTTGTAATATAATTTTAGCAAAATTAGAAGTTCATTTGAGTCGATTCTAATGTTTATAAAACATTCGAAGAACGCTATGTGCTTGTTTATAAAGCCTTAAACAAAATTCGTTTAGTATCATAAATCATGAAAAGAAAGCAATCTTTCAAAGCTAGTATAAAAAGAATAATGCCAGATTTATTGCACAATTGATTTGGGTTAAAGGCACATATGGTCCACTAAGAAATATTGTTGGAAATATTTCAAAAATATGTTTGGACAATATGAGAGCTAGTTGATCCAATGCTGATAGTACTGAGACTATAAGAATAGAAATTGTCAACGTTACTTTTTACAAAAGTTTTCATGTAGAAGTTAAAGCATTATAAACAGTTTATAAGAAGGAATGAGTACAACTTACATTAATTCTGGACCAACCAATTTTACATATGAAATAATCTTCTATTATTTCCAATACGTTATTCAGCATCCAATAAATTTTTTCTTCAAGCTCTATGACACTGTCAATTTTGAACAGATTACAGTCCAATAACATTTAGTTGCTACAACTGGAATATTTCATCCTGTTGTTGTTGAAGTCTTTGTAACGATGTTTTCACTTTTCTACCCTGAGTCATAACTACAGCAGTTGGGAAGTTATGCATATCACTAGAAGATGACGGTCTCAATAGTTCTGAAGGAGATGATATTGTATGCGTGTTCGAAGTCATAGGAAAGGAATTACGTAGTTTAGTAGGCACTCTATGTCGCTGTACATAGATATTATCCTCAGCACAAAATCTAAAATACAATGTGGAAAATATGGTTGATTGAATATATTTTATATTTAAGTATGTTTGTTACATTTTATTAGTATGTATATTGTCTTCTTTAATTATTAGTAAATAACTTACTCACTGCTCCCTTGAGTACGTTTTACTTCTCTTTTTACATTGGCAATTGAAGAATCCATTTTAGCTAAAAAATCATTAACTGAATTGTCATCATCAACGGATGATGCTATTGAAGATGGACTAGAAATCTGAAAGCATATCTTATTTTCATATACGGCAAAATAATACATTGGAATTAATTTAAGGAAAATTATATTTACATTCTGAACTGTATTGTGTTCAGTTTCATTGGTATTATCAATAGATAATGTTAAAGGGCTTTCTGAATTCACTGGAATAAGTAAATGTTCCCTTAAAAATAAACTATCAGAGGCCCATAATCTATTCACCCTTCTTATTTGTTCGGTCTGAAGAAATAAAAAGATGAACATATAGAAATCAATTATATGGTTTACGATTATGTGAAGAACAGTAATATGTAGAACAGGGTAATGAAATCATACTGTAACTCCGTATTTCAAAGCAATTCCTTGAAGCGTGTCAGTTGCTGATACAGCATGCTTTACTAAGCTTTCAGTTCGTGTAATATGTTTGGCTGTACTGCCATACTTTTTTAATGTTTTACCAGTATCTCTTATACACATTCGTTCTTCCATTTCTCTCGCGCCATTTCGTTCCATTTTTATTTAATGAAATAATGCAGCCACTTAAGAAGTTTAACAAACATATCACTCTTTGTTATTTACGAAAGAGAAATTCAACTTAAGCAACATAACCGTAAATCCTGTCAAATACATCAGAAAAGTATTTAATTGAAGTATAAATATCTCTTAACGAGTAATTTTTATATACTGAAACCTTACGTACATCATAGAAATTCGAAGAATCATTTCTATTAACTGAGCATAGATTGTAAAAATATTTAATAATTTTCAATAACTTTTGAAGATACAATTACATTTGAAATAATCGAAAGGAGCACGTTTCTACTTTAATTTATATCTTTTTATAATAATTCTATTTTACAATTATACAGGTTTAGTTATGGTAAAAAAACTTTTGTTACGATCTCACTGCGAACGTCTGCTCAGCTGATCAACGTGATAATAGTTTATAGATGTTCTTTAACCTGAATGATAGTGGTAGCCTCGTTTTGATTGGATAGTTAAAGGGCGTTACGCATATACACACTATGATAATATTTAAATATGAATGAACATTTTTAAATAATTACCTAATACAATATAAACGTTTGCAATGCTATTTGAATTTTGTTGTATTAAAGTATATAGTATATAGTTTCAAATAATTTTATTAACATGCAAATGGAATAAAATGGAATACTTTCTTCATTGCTTAATCTTATTACATAACGTATTTTGCTAGAAAAAACGCGGTAGATATTATTTAAAAGAATATGATAAGGCATACCGTTCGCAGTTAGATTTCTTGTAAAGGGTGTTTTTGATTATTTGCGCTTATTTTCATTATTCGTATTAGTTAAAGGAAGAAAATAATAGAAATGGAATTAAATTTTAATAAAAACATGTTAATTATAGTACGTTACACAGTTCATCTATTTTTAAATACAATATATTACAGAGAAACACACAGTTATAATTTAGTGTTATTAATATTATGTCTTACATTATATTTAACTTATGGTTATTATCATTATTATTATTGTTGTTGTTGTTGTTGTTGCTGCTTTTTTTCTGTTGTTGTTATTATTTTGCTAACCTCGATAAATATGTAAGGTAGCATGAAAATTATGTAATGGGAGACTAATTGATGTATTTTATTTTAGGACAAGTTTTATCCTCGCGTAGTACGTATTAATCTCCAGTAGCTGTGCAACAGTAACTGTAATATTGGTAATAAATAGTTAACATAAGGATAAATATTATGCTACTGCGGCAGTGTGCTTCCTGGATTCTGGGTAAGGGGTATTTTCTTTGTCTAATTATCAGAACTATGTTAACTAATATTCTACAAGATAGACACCCCTTCCGCTATTCCAAATAATGTAGCTACTTAATAAAGATCTCATGAATAAGCAGCATTTCGTATTCGAATTTTTATTGTTCCTTCGATAAATCGTCGCGGACAAGGGTTATGTGCAAATTTCAGTTTCTCGTAACATGGCTATATCTATATGTCTGATTTGATTTTTTTCTAAAGTGGTACTTTAAAAAGTAGAGCAATATAAGTTACAACAAAATTGGAAGTGTAACACGTACAGGTAAAACTATCTAGAAAGAATGAGTACAAAATCTGTTCCATCTGATGCATGTCAATAGTAGAAATGGTGTACCTTAATTTACATCTCACACATACACTTTGGCAAGAGCATCGGCCCCTGCACTTGCTATAAAAGGTCGCGATGGATGAAATGCTACATCTAAAATACTTTCGTCAAACTTCTTACGGTGTGCTGTTATTTCTTGAACACAAGTCTTATTATCCATATTCCATAATCTTATACTGCAATCGTGACCTGGAAAATAAAACATTTTTCTCATTTGTAACATACCGGCATTCGTATTCATACTTTTTCTTACACACTAAATCTCGTCACTTACTTCCTGAAAGTAGATATAAACCATGAGGATCTACAGCAAGACTAGTAACTGCATCCAAATGAGCAACCATGGCATGAGCAAGAGTAGCCGACCGATGATCGTAAAATCGAATATGTCTATCCTCGTGTGCGGCAACAACTAATGGTAAAGTTGGATGGGCCACGACACGATTGAAACCCTTTGTTTCATTGGCTTCGAGGCGAGCTACGCTTTCGCCAGTTTCTGTATCAAATACAACACACGCTCCTTCGTACGCTACAACTAACTTATGTGGTTCATCTCTTATAAAATCTACTGAAGTCGGTATGCCGTCTGTAAAAAAAGACAGATACATGTACGCGTTATTTTGTAAAATAACAGTTTTTTTTTCTAATTTTATCGAAACGGTAACTTCTTACAACGTACCTTGCTCAGAGACGTATGTATGAAGTAGAGGAGACTTGTTCTGCGGACTCCATAATTTTACAGTTCCGTCAGCACTAATTGATAACAATTGCGATCGTGGTTGATACATACTTAAACCCCAAACTGCATTTGTGTGTCCCTTTAATGTTTGACTAAGGACACTTGACTCATAGGAATCATATGGATCTATGTTGGCTGACGGTAGTGTCCAACAGTGAATCATACCATCCAAACCACCGCTATAACATTGATTTCCCGTGCTGCACATAGCTAAACATAAGACTGGGCCAGTGTGTGATCTAAATGTATACAGTGGTTCAACATCTAATGAAGCTGATCTGAAATTAAAAGGATGCGATTTAGATATATTTCTCTGAATGTTATTGAAAAATAAAAGTAACATCAAGCTTCTTAAACCATACTTTTTCGCAGGTAAAGTTTTATGAAGGTTCCATAACTTGAGAGTATGATCATCGCTTGCGGTTATAAGAACAGCTTCTGTGGGATGGAAGACAAGTGCTCGAACAGCATCAAAATGAGATCGTAATGTGTATTTCGCATTCCAAGTTTTTCTAAACGTTTCCTTCGTTGTAGCTACCATCTGGACAAATAAGTATCTAGTGTTAATACTTTATGAAAGTATAAGAAGTATCTTCTACGCGTAGCCATATATGGTAGAATGATAAAAAAAATAAATAATCTAACTCACATCATATGATGTTTCTGCTTCATTGTTAACACACAATAATTCTAACTCCCCCAACTCCAATGCAGAATCACCTTCTTTGTTTGGACACCTCAAATCTGGTCGTAAACCTTTATGTAATGCATCTATAAATTGATAATTGTGTTTAGTAATTATTTAGTAATTTAGTAACTATCATTTTTAGTAATACATCTATTGAAGTGAATTTAGTTCTTTAAAATCAAAATTATTTGTATATGTACCTAAATGAACAGAGCCTGGTGGTGATTCTTCAGTTTCTGTGAGAAGGTTTAATTCATTTAATACTTCTTCTGCTTCCGCATCGACATCTTCCGTTAGAAGCATAGATGTCTGAAAGTAAAATAAATAATTCATTAAAGGTACTTAGTATTTAACTAGAGAATAAGAAAATGAAAAGAAGTTGTTATTACTTTATTTGGTTTAGATTCAATATTCGTATCGAAAGTATCATCTTCTACATCTCCTTCTTCTTCTTCCATGTCCATATCTGTATGAGTTAAGAACTCAAAATTTGCCATAACAGCTGCTTCAGTATCTAATATCATTGCTTCTGCTATAGAAGATGGTTGCTGTTGACATAGAAATATAAAAATATCTCACTATGTAGGGCAATTTAGTCTGTACAATAATTTATGATGATTTAGTTTTGGGAATAGAAAATACTTAATAAAATGCAGTATATAATAAATAGAACACAGAAGATCTTATTTACCTCTACCTTTTTTCCTGGAACTCTACGGATACTGGTTTCAATTGTTTGTTTATTTGATGGTTCATTGCCATTTAATGCAGGAGTATTCATGTCTTCTGAATCTGTGTTATTATTTAAACCAAGTAAAGATCTTACTCTGTTTGATCGTACATCTATTATTGTATCGGTGTAACCAATCTCTTGTAAATATCTAAAATAATAATTATAAATAAATTATTATCAACTATACAATTGTGCTATTTATTATATAGACATAAATATATCGAAATATTATGTTTTACTTACTGTCTTAAAATTTGGCGACCTTGTCTCCAACTTATGTTGCTGACGGAAGTAAATGGGGCTTCCCCATCACCTTCTCCTCCAACTTCAGAGTTAACACAAGTACTACTACCTTCGTCGTAAACAGGAGGTTTTACATCTCCCTGAATTACCAAATCAGTCCCATATTTCAACTTATGGTACCTTGCTCTGCAAAAATGATGAAAACACATGTACATATATGCTTATATAATTGTAAAAGATTAACATACATCCGAAAGTATGTCTTACCGTTCTTGTTTCAGTGCATACTCTAACATTTTTATTCTTCTTACTAAATCATTTTTTAATTTTTCCTGTCCCTTCCTTTCACCTTGTAAAAAAGCTATCCTAGCCTGTGAATAAATATTCTCGGCTTAAGAAATTTTATATAAAAAGATATACTACTTCTCTTATACATGATTGAAAATCATCAATTTCAAACCTGATTTAAAAGTAAACATATATTGAAATTGTATCAATCGATTTATGTATATGCGTTGTATGCAATAAATAAAATTTTATACACAAGCAACATTACATGAAACATTTTCATCGTAAAATAATTTAAATACATAACGCGTATAATCTATAATCATGCAATACGTGGACACCAAAATTAGTTTTACTGAAACGATACAAATTTAAATCGTACGATGACATTTAATATATTCAATTTTAACAGTTATAAGATTACAATAAGAAAGGAGATGTTTCTATGAAACATAATTTAATATTGTAGTAAGTATACAGTTGAACATGCTCGTCAGTTATGTTACAAAATTTTATGTATCTTCCAACTGATTGTTTTTACAAAGTTCCTGTCACATGACAGATGAAGTGACAATAAGAAGATTCAGGATTAAGAAGAAACAAGCGAATGCATTTCGGGGATTTCTAAAAGGAGAGAAAATTATACCTGGAATTCTGCTCTGTCAAGTTCCCATTGCGATCTTTCAAGTTCGAAGCGAGCCCATTCATGTTGAATAAAGTGTAGAATGCCAGGCATAGAGTATTGTGGTCTTTGATCCTTGGCATCGCCATTGCTACCATTGTCACTGCCCTGATGTTTATTGTTTGTCAGCGAAACATTCGCACCACTAGATACTTGTCCATTATGGTTTTGAGATGTAGAACTGGAGTTATCCTCCATCGTTATCGTGCAACCACAAAACTGGCTCGGTACCTTCATTTCATGACACGGCAGCCATTACAACAACTTTTCTTTCCTCTGGAGCCCAAAGAGTGCTCTCCCGTCGGATAATGTATTTCGATCGAGTTCGCGAAAAGAAGTAATTAATACGCATGCGGGCGTATTAGATTCCAGTGAAACTGATATACTTTATGGAAAACTTTGTCGTTTGTTACTTGTTTACTGAGAAATCTTATAAACTCTATTTAACTTCTTTGAAATAGCAGACAAGTATCATTCCTCTCTCGTGCATCTTCAGAATCATACTCGTTTCCACTATTCTCGCAAAGTGTATTTAGGTGTATTCTATCGGTGCCTTATACCGGCTTTCTATGAGTATCAATTTCTCTTCGAAATTGTTAGAATATAAATATCTGCAATATAAATAGTCTAGAGTAGGTACATTGTACTTAAACTGAAACAATAGTTTCGCTATCATGTATTATATATTTTTAAAAGAATAAATTTAATTTCACTGGATGATATTATATAAACAAATGAAATCACAGTTAATTGAACATATTGAATAAATTACTTAGTAAAAACTTATATATCGATAAAGAAATTTCAATACATTTTCGTTCACACTGTACAACAGGTTTTTATTAATATACATATTTTTGCAAGGCTGGTTTTCACGATAATATTCTTAAATTAATAAATATGCAATAATATGTATTAAACAATTTGTACGAAGGTATCAATAATGCCTTGTGAACAATAAACTTCAGATATAATATTTCTTTCTAAACAATATTTTATATTTGTATAAAAAATGATATATTTTTATGTAAAAAAGAAATTATTTAATTTATAAATTGTTAAGGATTTAAATGGAATTTGCAGTGTTTCGTATTATTCTGAAATTGTCAGTAATGCAAATTTACTTAAAAAGAAATACTGTAAGTGTCGCCATCTACAAGAACTCATCTCTTTTGACAGAATACACTCGTATTGTAACAAACTGTCAAAAAGATACGATTCTGCTTATGATATGTAGATACTTATATATATACAGCTATATATGTCCTATCTATAGAAGGAACTTACACACATCAATTATAATGGAAGAAAGTATACACTTCCATATTATGTCCCTTGTAAATGTTATATTTATAATGTGTTACATCTTTTATATTAATTTTTGGTATCTTCAATAAATTTTTTAATGATCATGATACATTTTCATCTTGAAAAATATACATATTCAGAAATGATTACATTTGTATAAATAATACATAATTACACTATAATAAAATATATATTATTATTTATAATAAGTAAAGTAAACATAACACACGTGACACATTAAGAAGGTTAAACTCTGTAGATATATTTTTTAGTATATTACAGTTGATAAACATTGCATGTATCATATAATCCAACAGAAACAATATGTAACTTAATCTGGATGTATTTGTTTTTACTCTGAACTGTTATGATTTATGATGTAGCTGTCACTATAGTAGATGTCAGTTGCAAATGTATTTGCTAAATATAGAAGATTACTTCATTTTAGTTATAAGGAACCTTTTATTTTTGTATTCATTTAATTATCATAATTTATAAAAAGTTATAGGAGAATATTATTTGGCTCAAGTATAATACAAATACGTAAATTCTATACTCCATGTCAACAATATAATACTTTCCACCTTAACCTATATTGATGAATAAAAAGTATTGTTTTGTTGAGATTCTTGATAGATGATTACAAGGTCAAATAATTATTGTACACACAGAACAAGAATGAAAGTAATCCTCAATACACGAGAGGTATTTCCAAGTATTTAATAGATACATCGATGATACGTTATCGTTATCGATAATAGAAATATACAATTGATAAAAAAGAGTGTATTTTCGTCTCTGGACAGAGGTATTTTGCATATTACAGCTAATACTAAAAATTCTGAAGGTATTTTACGCTACAGCGCATGCGTTACTGAAATTTCTGAAGTGCGAACCCACCACACTATCTATGTAGGTCGATAATTCTTACCACTTTTTATAAATAAAATTCATAGTCGATACCTAATCGTACAACGTATGCCCCGAGAAAAAATCGAAATCGAAAATTCAACCGATTCAATTCAAAATTTGATCCTTTTCGAATGGATCGTGTATGCTAACGGTCATGAATAAAAGTGGCAACGTTGCTTTTCGCTTGTTTAGGTTGCGGTGTTGCAGATACTCGATGAACGGGTATCACAGTGTATCCTCGTTTCTGGCATTTATCGCAAATATAACGTATTTTTATAAGACAAAGAACATGTGCATCACTGATTGAAGACCGTCAGCACTATAATTGTACGTAAGTTCATTAATTGTGTATAAACTTACATGTCACACTTCATCAGTGGGTCACTTTGTTTTCCTGCTCCGAGTTGTTGTAAGGTTCAAATAATTACACATGTTTAACCAGAATCATGTGGAAAATCTATCTTAAAAGATTGTTCGTTAATCATTCGACTCGCGAGGTTAATAATTCAAGATGATAATTATTTTCAACTGAAAACAACAGTGTTGTTATGATTCGGACATTAGTAGTTCGTTTAACAAAGGAGTAGGAAGGAGAAGGAAACCATTTACGTGGTGTGATTAATGTATTGAAATTTTGGGCCTGTAGGCCCATCATACATAACGACCAAGGCCTTCACGGACATCGTACTATATACGAAAAGCTGCCATTTTATATAGCTTACGTGCGCCATTTTGTTGTCCCTCGATACAAAATGAAAGCTAACTTAAAATATTACATTTAAATACATGCCAATAGATTTACAACGTAAACTGAGAATTCATATTAATTTAAATACAAGAAGTAACGAAATGTCCATGATGTACCCATTGGGCTTCATGTGGAACTAGATTTAGTAATAAGGAATAGATATTTACATAACTTGGTAGTAATGAAAGCCAAAGCTTCGATCACGGACCTCAATTGTCCACACCATAGTCCCAAACGAAACGAAAGTAAATATTTCAACGGTATAATAGATTTATCACGTTTAATCGAACCAAATGAAAAATCTCAATTCAAATATGGATTAAACGTTTTCTCAAACGTAAATAATTTTTTTAATGATGTAACAAAGTACGCTATTGTTATCGAAATAGTGCCATTTTTTTACTTCATTTTCAATATCCTTTCACAATTTCAAAAAATTTAATAGATTTTGAGTTTTGCACGCAGTACATTCGCGCATAAGCGGAATTCACCGCGCATGTGTGAACCACTAGTAGAAGTATGTTTAGATAATGCAATATATAATTTCTACGATATATATGCACCTGCAAATTGTATTAGTGTTATCAAAATGATATTTTTTCTATTTTAAATACTTCATATGATATGACAAAAAAGTCAAAAGTGTTCAATATTTTTTATATTGTATTTGAATAATAACAGTTACACTATGAGCCTCCTGAAAAAAGTGTTATAATTGTTAATTACTTATAAATGTATAATTTCATTAACTTGATACATACAGTGTTCCCAAATTGGTATATAAAATTAATTATTTTTCTATAGTTATGAACAAAATAATTGTAACATGAATTATAATAATATAATCAATGAAATCAATTTCTTAAATCATGGATTTATAAAATCGATGTGACGAGTAGTAAAAGTATCGTGGTTCTCCCACCCTGTAAAGAAAAGCGTTATATTACCATTGTGACGCACGTTGACCTCGCAAGTCAGCGCAGAAAGAAAAGGGGTGGGGCTACTTATCAAACGTTCAATATGAGTACTTGCAACTAATAAAATAATTTTTCGAAACATTCACTTCTGGATTTTGTGTACAATTTTCTTAAGAAATAATTATTAGTATTTAATTATTTTATTAATTAACAGATAACAATTTTTAATGCTACTTTTCAAAATTCCTATATAAAGTATAATGTAAAAAAATAAATATAGTTATACAAAAAAGAAATCAATTGCATATGTAAATTCAAAATTTATGTTAATTTTTAGTACTTAATATTTTTTTTCTTTTTTTTTCTTATTAAACAGAATGGATAAATGATGTAGCCGCAATAATAAGAAAATGCTACTTCTACGACATGAAAGTTAATATTAATAACATACAGTATTAAGTAACGTAAAGATAGGGCAGAAGTGGGGGAAACCGTAAATGTGACCTTTTTGTAACTTCAAGTGTTCGATCGACTTAAAAATGAAAGATTAGATTTTTACTGTGCGCGTCGCTGCCTATGTGAACGTGTCTAACGTAAAAACATTGTATATTAGAATTTATTTGCTTTACTTGATTAGAAATTGGTTTACTTGGGGGCGAATCATGACGCCATATTGGACGACGTCGTGTGTAATCGTCGAATTTCGTGAGGACGCATGTCGGGGCCTATGTTCAGCTGTACTCGTTCAATAGACTAGTCTACCGACAATCCCGCCTTTCTGAACATAAGCTTCCATAGTTGAAATTGTATTTATTTGGTAGTCTTTTAACGTGGTTGCCCATTCATGATATTTGTGTTGTGTATTTCTGCTTGATTTCGTATTAACTAGATTTGTTACTTGTTCGAATCTTTGGGTTTTAATTATGTTGGTGACACGACATACGAATTTTATATTTTCTGTATTATATATTTTTTTAGAGTGCTATAAATAAAAAAGCAGACGATCATTTTCACTAAGTAATCAACAATATAGATATCTATTAATTTGGACAATAGGGTACACGTGTAATACAGTAAATGTTAGATATACGGTTTCAGTCGGCCATTTCTGTTAGTTGAGTACTTATGGGCCAGGGACGACTTATGTTGGCGCGTCATCGAGGGGCCCAAATTGTTTATCCTTATTTATACTAAAAGAGAACTTAATTCTGTAACATAAATCATATAAATCGTGATTAAAACGGTGCAATAACTTTATACCCAAATTATATTGTTAATACAATTATGACACCCAGTGGATTACATTGATTTGGAAAATCCGTAGGTTTATAATTTTTAGCGCCTTTGTTTTTATAGTGGATATTTGTTTTGTTTTTTAATAGCAGGTCTCTCTTTTATACGGTCTATTTGAATATGATTAATTTAAAATTATTCAAAACGTATTATACTTTATCAAAACATGAAATTGTAATTAATTTCTATACCGTTAACAATTAATTTAAACATAGTAAATTTATTTTTAAGTTTCTGTATCAAATGATGTTATACCAAATATTATCTGTAATCTTTATAATTATGTATAATTAATTAATTAATTAAACAATTAAATCAAGATATTTGTTGTTGGCATATTTACTAAATCTGAAATTATATATTTAAACACACGCACAAATTATATATGTATGTAGTACTTTCAAATTAAGTTATTTCATATGTAGTGGTCACTTACAGATCAGAAAATATTAAATTTCGGAGATAAATGGGTGACCTGTGACATTATCTTGCATATCTTACCTTTTTTTACGATGGAGGCTTTAAGAAGTGATTCTGTACATACAACTGAGTCTATACATTCATTGTCTTGTATCAATACACATCATATTGATGAATTATCAAAAGAAAAAGAAGATGAGCTATTATATGGAGGTGATGATGGTGATGAAGAAGACGCACTTTCGGATGATAGTATGCGTTTAAGATTGTCTGATGATGATGAGGCTGAGCCAGATGATATTTTAACATCTGTCTTAGATAACAAAGAAGATAAGCCAAAAAATAAAACAATTGGTAAGCTTTATATCCTATATATTTATATGGAATATATAGGCATTACTCTATAAAATCTTTTATCCGAGGTTATTCGTTGTCTCATCACAAATAACTTAGATAATAAGAAATACATTTACTTTTGAAAACTTGGATTGCAGAAGTGACATGTGAAAACAGTATAGATGTACAAGCTTCTCCTGTTCCTGAAAAAAATGAAATGAAGAATAACACAACTCCTTCGAGGGAAAAAAAGGAAGAGGAACATTGTTCAGGTAATGTTTCCATGGGTGACAAACTATTAACACATCATGCAAAGGATACCAAAAGAAATATAAATGGATTGATGAGGCCACAAATGATTAATGTCATGCCTCGTTATCCATGGCCAAATTATAAGTTTCAATGGAGGTTTGCAAGTACCCCCCGTGCTCGCTTTCCCTATATTGATCATTTTCGTTATATCAGGCATCGGTATTTGACACCTAGAGGACAATTTAGAAATCCATATGATTACAATACTAGATTTCACAATGCATTTGTTCCTTTTGAAAAAGGAAGAGACAATGGAATGTTTAATTCATATAACAAGTTAATGTATTATAGAGAACAAACGAGAGCTTACAAACCTTCTCCTATGAAGAGATTTAATACTAAAAGTGATGTTGACCAAACTGTTATGTCTCCTTCAGATGCAAACATATCTTCAAGAACTGAAGCTGATACCAGTATCAAGGATGAAAGCTGTATTGATAAAAATATTGAAACATGTAGTGAATTAGTTATCAAATCTTCAATCAGTAGTAAACAAATTAATGATGATTCAAGTAAATTACCAAATGAAATTTTGAAAAATGTTAAAACTGAAGATTTGAACAAAGAAACTTTGTCTGACACTGTTTGTGTCAGTAACTCTTTGGTATCGGAGCATGAAACAAAAATTGTGCAAGGGAATACAATGATACAATCTAGTGATGTAGAATGTAAAAATAATAAATCTATTAATACCGATACTTCTAATGAGTCCTCTAATAAAGAAATTACAAATTCATTAATAAATTCCCAGGATGACAATAAGGAAAGTATGAAAGAAAAAGGAAATACTGAAACAGGTAATTCACATTCTGATTGTAATGATTTACAGAATTTTGACAATTTTAATATATTGGAAAAATTATTAACCAAAGGCCCAAAAAATTTGTCTGGTGATGAAGATGTCAAATTTATTGAAGGGAATAATGAAAATAATAAAACAAAGGATGTCACGGTTAAAACAACAGCCACTTTGGATCTAAGCGAAAAAAAAGGAGCTGAACAAATTCATCAACCAGAAAATCATGAACTTGATGCAAATGTTAAGATAACAAAATCAATGAAAAATGATTCAATTGAGGGAAATACAGTAAATAATGAATTAGTAATAAAAGAAAAAGTTGATTCAGTAATTGATAAATCAGAAGAGATTTTAAAAGATGAAAATGATGTATCTATGCAAGGTGTGCAATCAAATGAAGATATTGAAACTCATGTCTCTAAACCGAACAACATTATGCTAAATGACTTAAACAACAGAGAAAGTGATAAGAACACTGATATAACACAAAATAATATATTTGAATCACTTGTTAATGGTGATAAATGTGATAAAGATCGATTAAATGATAGTGATAATAGTACAAATTCTTCTAAACTACTACAATTGCTTGTTTCTGATGATCATGCAATTAAGTCTAAGCTTGATCTTCAAAAACAAAATAGTGTTACTGAAGAAAATATAAAATCTGTATACAAAGGAAACTCTATAGTAAATTCTACCAGTAAGACATCATTACAAACTGAAAACACGTCATCCACATTGGATGAAAATAATTTATCTAGCGTCAAATCACAAAATAGTTCATTAGGTTCTATTACTAATGTAATAGATGGTGATAATAGTGAAAAAAGCGTTCTTCAAGTTCCAGTAACTACTCAAAGAAGGAGAAGGCGAACGAAGAAAATGATTGCAGCAGCTCAAGAAGCTGTTTCTGAAGAAGATAAGCAAGGTAGGATACGCTTTGTATTATTGGAGTAATTATGGGCTATAGTTAAACAGTAAAATTTATTTATTATTTATGCTCTCTAACATGCTTCCTTCTTTCACATAAGCAACATTTACATATGATATTTATTGCATGTCTATCTTATTATGTTCTTAATTTTTATTTTAATATTACAAGGAATTATAATATATATTTAAATAAATGCTATAGTAATACAAAAATCTTTGGTACTCGTTTTTTTGTTTACACTCCTCCATTAAAAGCATAAAATATGTTTGAATTCAAATCAAGAATACTCTTTTTGTATACTAAATTATGTAATAAAAATTATGTTGATAACTAACGTGTTCAAATTATGTACAGAAGATTTCCTTATATGATATAAATTTGGCCTATATACTATTACCATTAGGTTGTGCATCTGTTCCATTTTTACTTGCATTTATCTAATTTATTTGTTGATTATTCAACGTCTATTTTAATCACACAATTGTTATTCCAATGTTTCTTTGCAGTTAGAGAAAGTGGAAGGCAAAAGAGGAAAACTGCTAAGAATGCAGAGGAAATCATTCGAAAGAAATTCCTTAATCATGACAGTGATTTAGAATCAAGTGATAGTTCAGAAAAGTTTGTAATTGTTAATCATAAAGTAAATCAGGATGCGCGTTCTTTATCTCCGCCGTCTTTGAAACGCAATTGTTCCGATCTGGATAATATAACAATGAATGGTAGTGTTAAAAAGATTAAAGTAAACTGTGATTCGCTATCCGACGAGTCAGCATCGAAAGAAAATATTAAGAAACTCGATTACGTTCATAAATTTTTCCAAAGGGATCTGAAGGAAAAATTGCCCAAGTTGACGCAAGAAGTACGTCGAGAGGAATAAAATGAAGTACATATTAGCTCTAAAATTAGTTGAATATATTTTAATATTGATAAATTGTTTAAGGAACTAGAAGAGCTACTAATACAGAAGATTGTTGAAACTATTACAATGCGCGGTGAAATTGGTAAATTGAGGGAGCAAGCTCGTATATCAGAAAGAAATCAAGAAGTAACACGTGCAAAATGTCAGCAATTGGCGAAGCAAATTAAAGATTTCGAAATGGTTTTAAGTCGTAATGCCGCAGATCGACGCGCTAATAATGATAAACCTATTCCGCCAATTAAAATCAATAGATCTGTTGGATTGCAAGTTAATTTTATAACTGTACATACACGAATCATTTCTTTTTACATAATATGTATTTATTAGTAGATGAAACTACTAACATTTTCTTTTCACTAGGATCACGGAATACAAAATTTGAGACAAATGCAGCAGAATTCTAATCTAAAGTCTGTAAATGTTTCAAATAACGGTAACGCATTAAATACGTCTGGTAATGAAATGAATAGTTTAACAAGTCCAAGGAAAGGAGTCAAAGTAAGATCTCCAAGGCGATCTGAACCGGTAACCGGTCCAGCTGCTGTGATCTCGCAAAATAGTACGCAGCCTCCGAACATTATGCCTACTATAACTCCTGCAGCTTTAGTTGTAACTAAGCCTGTGGAAGTACAGCATACTTTGCAATTACCTAATCAGTCTAACGTTCAACAAATGATATCTAATGTAAGTATTCGCAGTTTTTATCTTACTTTATCTGTGAATCATATTTCATTTACAAATGTATGCATTGTACATGTGTAATGCAATGATGCAGTCACAATTGCCACCACAACAACAACAACCACAGCAAACTATAGTTCTAAATGGAAAGTTTTCGAATCAGTTGAATCGCCAGAATACTACTGTGAATGTTTCGAAACCTAGAACCAATGATCTAATAGATCTTACGGATGAAGAGGAGAAAAGTAAAGGTAAAAAAGAATGTTATTCGATTGAATATCTTTTTAATAGATATTTTTAAGATGAATCTTATAATTTCTAGGTGCTACCAGCCTGCCGGTAGTCACAACTACGATCACCGATCAACAAATAAGTTTAGCACAAAAAACACAACCCTGTTTCCAAAGGGTAATTCAAACGATCCCCGGAAATGTAGCTATAACGAATCAGCCACCTAGCATAAGAGTAGTACAACCTGCTAGCCAACCAACACCTACTGCCTTAGTAGTAAGCAAACGAGACGATTCATGATTATTGATCATTTACACAATAGACATGTTATATATGATCATTTCTTTTTTTAGAATAATATGAACGCCCCCCGGTTAGCATACGTAATGCAAAGTGGCGTAGGTACGACGAGACAATTATTAATAGCACCAAATACTACAACGGTAACATGAATTTAATATTTATTAAATATGTTAGAGTCTTTTAAAGTAATTTTGTAATCGCATAACAAGATTTTATAATTTTAGATACGGCCAGTAACTTCCTGTAACAGAACATCATTTTCGACTCTGACTTATAAAACTGGTACGCGAATAATAAATAAATACATATATAAGTATATACATATATATATATTTTTCTATGATATAAACAATGAATTTAATTACACCTTATTCGCAGCAGTATCGACAGTGGCAAATGGAACTGTTAGAGTTCTAACAACATCAGCACCTTCAAATATACAGTTGCATAAGGTGTTCTAATATTTAAATAGATTTCTACTTTTATTTTATTTCTATAAATAAATGTATTATACTTATCCTTATTTATTTCAGCATCCTGCTCCCTTACCGGATACACGAAATTACGTTGGAAATGCTGTGTGGAAGTTGCCACCACCAGCTCCGTCATTGAAAATTTCTAAGGTTGCAAATGGTATGTAAGACGAATGGTTAACATTGATAACAAAATATTGAAGATATAAATATAAGTATTCATTTTCATTGTACAGGTATTGTATTATCCTGGAATATGAATTTATCTGATAAATACGCAGATATTGCTAGTTATCAACTATATGCCTACCAAGAAGTTGCTGGTATTCCACCTAATACATCATTATGGAAAAAAGTAGGAGACGTTCGAGCTTTACCACTGCCTATGGCGTGCACTCTTACGCAAGTAATTAGAATAATAGTTATTTTATAGTTACGATAATTAACATTAACACTTTTCATATTAAACATTTATCTTCACAGTTTTCCGAAGGAAATAATTATTACTTCGCAGTCCGAGCAGTTGACACACATTCCCGAAAAGGACAATATAGTATACCTGGCAATATTTCTTTATAAAATATACGACCAACATTAAATTATTGTTTTTAATCTTACTTTTAACGCACAGTTGTAATGTAACAAGTCATGACACATATAACAACAAATTCCATGCAGTCTTCTAAATCATCATTTACGTTGTCATGTCTATTGCATATAAGATAGATTTAACAAGAAATTTCAGAAGTATTTGTACTTGAGAAGTATGCTGTACGTAGTACACGTACAAGTGAATTTATTGTGCAGTAGTAAGTATTTGTTTAATTATAAGTGCATATTGTTCTCGAATTGTTAGTGACTTCGATTACGAATACAGCTACACATATTTTTCTTGCTCCTTTTTATACGCCTTTTAATTTATAAAATCAAAAAATTATGAGGATATTACTTGTGACAATGTATAGTTTATCATTCTGTCTTTGCTTAAAAAATTGCAATATACGAGTTTTTTATAAAATTTGCGTGCCATGTTTCATGAAGTATTATTCACGTGTCATCCAGTAGTATACAATAATTAAGTATAACAATAAATGTTTTAAATTCTGTATATTCAAAATGATATATACATATAAAAAAAGAAATTAATTACAGTAATGTGCTGGTAAAAATCTATGTCTGTACAAAGTACATAACTTACTCTAGTCAACAAGAATTTCTTTAGCAATTATTTTGATATTCATAACTCGTAAAGACTGCTATGATTAAAGACAAATACGCAATTGCTTAAAAGTCTGATATCGATATTATTCACTGAAGGTGTTCATCAATGTTGCTTTACGTTACTTATTAAATAACGCCTGTTCTCATTTGTTTCATTAACTTCAATTTACTCCTATTGTTATTTTATAGACAAGTCTTGCTGATACATAATTTGCTCAATTTTTTATACATTTGTAATAAATTTAAAATGTTGAACAATGATATACACTGTGCAGATTTCTCAATTATATATATATATATACACAATT